GACAGAAATAACGAGAGGGTCATCATGAGGATAACGGATGCCTGTACAGTCGGCGTCCATGAAGGTGATGGGCTCTGTCCACTACTTGGGCTGTTTGGAGGGTCGGTCTACCGTGGCAACTGCTCTGTCCGAGCCTTGCCTTATCTTCCTAAGCTCTGCCCTCTGAGCGGAGCGGGATGGTCCGCCACAAGCAAGGCCACCTGAAATGACTCAGATTTCACCAACTGGCGGAGGGGGATTACCTGGTGACCGAGGCTGTTGTGAGGGGCGATCATGGCCTTGGTTTGGTTGGGCTGGCTGCCGGGGTGGGGTACGCCGGCGGTTGTTTCTGAGGGGCTCGGTTCTTTGCCTCTGCTGTGGACGGGTGTCCGTGAACCGGCTGAGACACCCTTGACGAATGAGGGTCTCGACCTGATCCTTGAGGTTGATGTAGTCATCAGTGTTGTGGCCATGGTCCTAGTCGAAACGGCAATATTTGGACTGGTCTTTCTGGTTGGAAGAGGTCCGTGAGGGTAGGGGCCATTTGAGGGGGTAGTCCTGTTGGATCTGGTGGAGGACTTGTTCCATAGGAGAATTAAGGGGCATTTACCGCTTGAACCGACCGGGCGGTCGGGCTGGTGCCGACTGGTCAGCGTGAGGAGGTCGGTCGGTATAGTGAGGTGTTTGGCTGTTATACTGGGTGTTTCTGGGTTCTGAGTCTTTTCTCTTTTCTCTGGGGGTCGGGTTTTTAGGTATTGGATCCTGCCGAGCGGCTAGTGAATCTTCAGCATTCATGTATTTCTAGGCTTTGGAGAGTAGGACGGCCATGGAGGTCGGGGGGTTTTTGGAGAGGGAGAAGAGGAAATCGGACGATCGTAGCCCGGCCGTGAAAGCTGTGAGGATGACCTTGTCATCGTTTTTCGCGACCTGCAGGGCTTCGGTGTTGAAGCGGGTAATGAAACTGCGCAGCGACTCCCCCTCGGTCTGACGGATGTTGAGGAGTTGGGTTGCAGGGCGGCGTTGGTGCTGGGCTCCAATGAAATGGCTAAGGAAAGAGTCGCTGAGATGCTGGAAAGTGGAGACAGAGTCTGCGGGTAACTGGCTGAACCACAGTCGAGCTGACCCCTTCAGTGTCACAGGGAAAGCCCGACACATGATCTCGTCAGGGAAGGCATGGAGGATCATGAGGATACGGTAAGTCTCAAGGTGGTCGACTAGGTCCGTCGTACTGTCAAAAGAATCAATGGTGGGCATCTTGAACTTGGCGGGCAGAGGTTTGTCCCGGATGGAGGCAACAAATGGTGAGCTTGCCGTGGTAGAGGGCTTATGCTGAATGTTCTGCATGACCCCTTGGAGCTGGAGCTTCATTGCTCGAAGTTCAGTGTCCCAGAGGGGAATGTGGTCACCATGGTCAGTCAATGGGGGCTGGACGCTGCTGGCTTCCCCTTCAGGGCCTGGTGCCACGACCGAAGGGTATGGGGGTGGAGGTGGTAAATTTATATGTGGGGGAGGAGGTTGCAAAACCTCCAAGTTGGGTGGATAGGGTTGCGGAACAGTATGGCTCCGGGGTGGATAGGGTTGCGGAACAGTATGGCTCGGGGCTCTTTCTTGGTTGGATGAGATGTCTAAAGGTGGTAGAGAAGGCATCGGAAGGTTTCTTTGGAGTAAAGCATTTATTAGGGCCTGGTTTTGTTCGGCCATGCGATTAATGTTGTTGGTAAGCTCAATGATATACTGTGGTGGGTTGTTTGGATTGGAAGGGTCGGTTTGATGGTCGGCAGCATTATGGTGAGAAGCCATGGATCTAGTCGTGACTATACACTTGGATGGATGGGAGGAAAAGGTTGTTAAGACAGGGTCTCCGGCGACAATGAGCACAACTGGCATCCGGATAAGAACCAGTTCCCACAGACGACGCCAACTAATAATACAGTTTGTCCCAGTGAATGGATCGGACTGGTCCAAGCTCCTCAAGCCTAGGTCTAAATGATCAAGCTCACCGGATAACCTGCAAACAAGTTCAACGGGGAACGGGGTAGTCCCCCAGTGAACCCTCCGACGAGCAAGTTAGAAAGAGAAGCAGAGTATAGAGGGAGAGATTAGAGATAGAAAAGCTTAACCTTCTTCTTGTCTTCAACGTTTGCTTATATCCTTTGGTAATCATTTCGCTGTCCCTTCCGACCTGCCCTCCTCGCCGAAAGTCTATACTGTAGCTTACCTTGTTCAGGGTAAGAGGGTCTTGTTCGGACGGAGAGGTGTTGTCGTAATAAATGCCGTGATGGGCTGCATTAATGGTGATGTGCAGTGGCAATAACTTTGCAGATTTTTGTCTGCTGATGTGGCCCGTCCTTCACCTGCCGTGTGTCTGAATGTCATTGGCTTTTTATGCCATGTTGGACTCCAGCTGTCCTGGACCTCACCAGCTGGGTTATGCATTGGGCTCCAAGTGATGGGCTTGGATTGTTCATAATGATTCGTGGCCTTTATGAGCTTATACACGTCAATAATTATGAGTGATGATATTTAAATTTATTTGGTCCGATATAATTTATTTGGAGCATCAGTGTGGTACCAACCAAAAATTTTTCAATGCCTTTAATGGTGGACCTCTTTTAACAATTAGGTTGAAAGTTAATTTATTGACTTTTTTTATTTTTTTAAATCACATCACTTCTCTACTTTTTTACATATTTTTTTTAAAAAAAATTAAAAAATTAACTTTTAACCTAATTTTCAAAATAAGTTAGGAAAGGTAAAAATGGAGGATTTTTGATACATACATCCTTCTTTTATAGAGGGTCTTCTTTTATTGAGTAAGGATCCTCTAAAGTTTTTTTTTTCTAAAGTTTCTTAGAGTGGTGTGTTGTATGGTTGAGATTTAATGACAAGTCACATCAATTTTTTAGCATTAAATCTCACCTATACAATACACCACTCTAGAAAACTTTAGGAAAAAAAACTCTAGAAGATCCTTGGCGAAATTGGAGCCTCAATTAATTGTGTGTATACACTAACGATGAGTATAGGGTTATCCAAATTACATAACTCGTCTAATCTGAACAGATTCGTATATAAACAGACGGTTTCGCAAATACAATGCTGGTAAATACGGTTTGAAATATAGCATAATTACAAGTTGTAGGTTTTACCTGCACTTGCAAGAATCTGCCCGCCCTTAGACATTTTTTTTTTTTTAAAAAAAAAACCTGGATAGTTGATTCATTCATCCTATCCTGGATGGAGTTTGCGAGTTTGCAAAATGTTTTTATTTTATTTAATGGGTTTGAATTGGATGAAGTTTAACAACAATTTATTATTATTTTATTATTACATTTTGAATGAGTGTAAAAGTTAACAAATAATTACTTTTAGGTAAATTTAAGATTTTATATGATTTTACTTTAATTGTATTGGTGGGTAATGAATGATTTTAATATTTTAGTTTAAAATTTTGAAAGACGCGCTTGTGTTAGTTTAGGATTTTATTTAAAAGTTTAGGATTTTAAATGATTTGCTTGTGTTAGGAATTGATTTTGTTGCATTTTTAATTTTATAATTTTAAGTCATTAATTATTAAGGATGAATTAAACTAACGGTCCCTATAATTTAGAGCTTATGTTACTTTAGTTCTTGACTTTTTAATTGTAACATATTTGACTCTAAATTTTTAATCTTATTCCAATAAGAACAATTGTAGATATTATTGCTTAATTTCAAGGGCACAATCGTCTATTTGATAAAATATAAACTAATTTGATAAAAATAAATATCAAAAAAATATTTTTGAATTTTTAAAAATTATGTCTACCTACTAAAGATAAAATTATGTAAAATTAATAAATCTTTTAGACATTTATTTATTTATTTTTATCAAATTAATTTATATTATGTGTTTGGATGATGATCATGTAATGAGTAATTGTTTTTATTTTCATTAAATTAGTTTCTATTTTTTCAAAAGTCAAATATGGCGACAATTTTGATATTATTATTAAACCAATCCATTAAATCAAAAATCCAAAACTAAAATTTTTTTATCGATTACACATTAAAATCCTAATAATCACTCATTACATGATCATCATCCAAACACATAATAAAAATTAATTTAATAAAAAAATAAAGAAATAAATGTCAAAAAAATTATCAATTTTATATAATTTTATCTTTAGTGTATAGAAATAATTTTAAAAATTTTAAAAATATTTTTTTGACATTTAATTTTGTCAATTTAGTTTATATTTTATCAAATTGACGATTTACCCTTGAAATTAAGTAATGACATCTTCAATTGTCTTTATTTAGAATAAGATTCAAAATTCAAGATTAAATGTGTGACAATTGAAAAGTCAATGACCAAAGTGACACGAGTCCCAAACTATAGGGACAGTTAATATAATTCGCTCAATTATTAATGCTAAACATTTTAGAAAATGGGGGAGAAATGGCTCAAAACAAATATTTACAAAACGGGAAAAAAAAAAAAAAAGCCTCAAAATAATTTTTTAAAGAAAAAAATTCAATCTGTAAAACGTTCGCAACCATCCCTACATCCGTAAACCCTATCTATACAAACCACTTACCGGTTCAATTTTTTTCAAACTGTACATATACAGGCAAGTTCAAGTCATAAACTGAAACTGTCGAAAACTGAACGATGAGTACTCTAATATACATCAATGAGCAATAATGACAGATATTTCTACTTAAATAAAAATATTTACAACACACCAGATCCTCATAGCACTGACTTTACAGATTTCTTGTCTCTGTTTTTGTTTTTTATAATTTAACTTTTGTGTGCCTTTTCATAAACAGAAAAAAGGAAACGTGCCTTTTCATAATTTTGCCAAAAGTAGTGGCGGTGGGGTACACCTCGTAATATTTTCCAAAACCGAGGGTCGTTTAATCAATCACGCCCTCCTCAAAAAAAGCAGCGAATCCCAGCGGGAAATTTAAAGTCCACCTCGTGTCCGTTATTTTCGAATTTCAAATATCAAACGGCTCATTTCACGACACAACACAACACCACTCAAGACAAACACCACCAAATCCACCACTACATGCCCCATTATCCAATCCCACCACTCCCCTCTTCTCTCTCTCTCTCTACAATTACCCTTTTCTCTCTCTAAATTTCACCTCCTCCTGTGTATAAAAGGGATTCATTTGAGCTCTTTAGGCCTCTGTTTCATTAAAAATTAGAGCTTTTTTTCTGAGGAGTTGCAAGTTGTGAGCTTTCTCATCAATGGGTGGTTCAGGAAAATGGGTAAAAGCATTGATAGGTCTCAAGAAGCCAGAGAAAGACGACCAAGTAAGCTTGCTTATAACAATCCCACCATGAATCTGTAGATTTTTTTATTTTTTTTTCTTCTCAATTTCTCTCTGTCTCACTTGTTTATCTAGGAAAAGGGTCGAAGTAAGGGCAAGAAATGGAAGCTATGGAGGAATTCATCAGGGGATCTTGGGTCCTCATGGAAGGGTTTCAGAGGGAACCATCACAGAGGTACTGCATCAGAGGGGTCTGATTGTTCATCAGTGATGACTAATGATGCTTTTACAGCTGCTGTAGCTACTGTGGTCCGAGCTCACCCTAAAGATTTCAGGGTTGTGAGACAAGAATGGGCCGCAATCCGGATCCAAACTGCTTTCCGTGGCTTCTTGGTACATGGTGTCCCCCCCCTTCCCTTTTTTTTTGATCTGTTTGGTTGCTGAGAAATTGTGGGAAAAAATAAAGACATTTTGATTTTGTCACTCGAAGAGTTTTTTTGTTAGATATATGAAGGGTGACACACAGAATAGAGGGTATACAACAACAATAAAATTTTAGCTGAAATTTGTTTCTAAGAAAAATGAATTATTAAAGTAAAGGAAAAGAAAAGAAAATTCAAATGATTCATTTTTCTATTATGCATTCAATTTACTCCTGTTAGAAAGTAGAATAGTTCCTATTTTGCTTTTTCTTTCCTTTTTTGCAATTAAAGGCAGCCTAGGGGTCTTCTATATTTTCATAGTCAGATGAATAGATAGACAACTTTATTGATGCATGGTGAGAGACTTGGAACTGAACTATTTTTAAACTCATAGACAGACTAATCTACATCAATCTTTAATTTTACAATAGAAGCTTGGATCTAGATGTTTTGAAAGGAGGAGGTCTCAATTAATACAAGTTTTCTGTATTATGGCCTATGCGATAACAATTAATTCGTACATACGTAGTTGATGGATTAATCATTTAGAGAATCAATAGAATGATTAAAACCTAGAAACCAGATCTCATGAAGTGAAGAATTTTAGCTGTTCATTGCAAAAAAAATTTAATCTAGGAGTACTCAACTGTGTCCAAGGCAGTCACCTTTTTGCAGTTTTGAGTTATTTTATCAATCATTGGATGCATAATTAGCATTGTTCAAAATTTTAAGTAAGATTTGATGTTTGCAACATATGTCTGTTCAATAAATTTATGCTTGAGTTACTTTTTGATTCAACCATTTGGGAAATTCAAATGTTATCCTTGCTGTATTGTAATAACTTGTGGATAAATATAGGCAAGAAGAGCTTTAAGGGCCTTGAAAGGAGTGGTGAGGCTTCAAGCTTTGGTTCGGGGTCGGCAGGTGAGGAAACAGGCTGCTGTGACTCTGAGATGCATGCAGGCTCTTGTTCGAGTGCAAGCCCGGGTTAGAGCTCGTCGTGTTCGTATGTCTATGGAGGGTCAGATTGTACAGAAGATGCTAGATGAACGGCGCAGCATGGCTGATCTCTTGAAACAAGCTGAGGTATCGTGATACCCTTAATGAATTCAAGTTTCTATTATGAACATTCTTTTGCCCTTCATGAAATTATGATTTTTTTTTTTTAAATACAAATCTTGGAAATTGTCAGGAAGGGTGGTGTGATAGTCAAGGTACACTAGAAGAGATTACAGCAAAGCTACAAATGAGGCAAGAAGGGGCTTTCAAGAGAGAAAGAGCACTTGCATATTCTCTTGCTCAAAAGGTAAGAATTTAATTAGTTCAGACTTCTCTTATTCTCTTGCTACAATAAAACGACTAAAATTTTCATTTTCCAGCAATGGAAATCAATCCAGAGTTCTGATTCCCAAACAAATATCCCAATGTCCTATCTCAAAAGTCAAGAGTTTGACAAGAATAGCTGGGGTTGGAATTGGTTAGAACGTTGGATGGCGGCGAAGCCATGGGAAAATAGATTGATGGAGAAAGTCCACACCAATCCCTCAGAGACGACTCCACCTTCTAAAAATTGTGTAGATTCCTTATCAGGTAACCGTTCAAAATCATCTGAACCATGCTCGGTGAAAGTCAGAAGGAACAATGTTAGCACAAGGATTTCAGCAAAACCTCCTCCAATTGGGCAAGTCACTCGGTCATCTTCAAGCCCAAGCTCTGAATTTCAATATGATGAGAGCTCAGCTTCGTCTTCAATTTGCACATCTACTACGCCTGGTTCTGGAAACACTGTCATGGCTTCGGATAGAACAGAGGAGAGCAATAATAACAGTATGCCAAGCTATATGAGCCTCACTGAATCAACCAAGGCTAAACAAAGAAATTTATCTCACCGAATTCAAAGGCAGTCCATGGATGAGTTTCAGTTTCTTAAGAAGTCAGCGGCGTTTTGTAATGGGGACTCAAAAAGCAGTATTGGCTCTGATCCTTATGTTAACATGTCCAGGCCACTCTGCCTGCCCACCAGAATGGAAAAAAATCCGATGAAGTCAGGAGAGAGAGGATTGCTTTTATGACTAAAGTGAGTTGCAAAGTTCAACAGCTTGTTGTTCTGTTCTAGTTTAGTAAGTATATTACTTCAGAGCTGCTGTACTATGAGCTGATCAGTATTGAAAAACTTGTATGATGTGCTTGAGATTCAATTTAGGGGTTTATTATGTACAATAGTAAGTTTGGTTGTGGAATTAATTAATGCTTTTTTTTTATTTATTAGCATTTCATTCCCATGGTCATCATGAGAATGTCTAGTTAACTTGCTCAATCTATAATATTTCCAGAATCTCTATTAACATTACAATATAGTTTGCAGTATTAAAAAACATGACCAAATTGGGATGATAGGCAGAGATCATCAAAACCCAGAAAAACTTCAAACTTCTTATGTTATAAGCTTCTACAAACGTGCTAAGAAGTTCACAGCGTCATGCTCAACCACATTTATGCACGTTTGATGGCTCTAAGCTTGACACCATGCTTGAAGTTAAGAACTATGCTAAACTCGAGTTCCAGAGGCTTTTCCATGTTGGGGGAATGGCGAAATACATATCTACGGTATAGATGAATCAGTGACAGTTTTATTTCTTGTATGGAGAACTTTTGGCCAATGCATGCTCGAGGTCCAATTCCAAAAGGTATGTTTGCATAAGGGTGCCTTTGTTTTTCTTCTTCACAATTTGGATCAAACCTCTCTGGCTTGAATTTGTCTGGCTCTGGGAAGTTTTTCGGGTCCTTAGCTAGAACTCCAAGTGCCAACCAGACCCATGTCCCCTGCTTATTTATAGATAAATTTAGGAGTTTAAATGCTTATTCTAATGCATTACACAAACGCGCCATCTTACATAAATTTACTGTTTTATCATTCAAATTATATAGAATAGAATACCTTTGGCAGAGTGTAACCTCCTATCTCCACTTGTTTTGATGTTTCTCTTGCAACTAATGGAGATACAGTATAAAACCTCATTGCCTCTTTGACCACCTGCAATCAAACAATCAAGAAAGCTGATTGAGCAATCATTGGCATTTGATCTATGCTATACTTCATCAAAATGTGAAAATGCCAGAATGTCTCCTTTTCTGATTGATCATATCTTAGACTTACCTGATCAAGATAGGGAAATTTGAATTGGAGATCATCAGCAGTCGGCATTTGATCATGCGGGCCAAACCCATCAATCTCTTCAAGCAACTTCTTCTCAACTTCCGGATGCCCAGCAACTAGATAGACAGTGGAAGACAATGTAAACGAAGTTGTGGCTGATCCAGCAAGTAGATGCTCATAAGTAACTGCGCTGATGTAGTCTGGGGTGAAAACACTCTTCATCACCGCCTCTGACTCCCTTGCTCTCAATATGAGTGACAAAAAGTCCTTTGAGCCTTGATCCTTTTCTTTCATCTTCTTCACAACAATCTTATCAAGGCGGTTACTCAAATCTCGATTAGTTCGGTCTACTTTCCAATCCATAGTGCCTGGTATTCTTTTAAGAATTTGGCGAAATGGCTCTTGGAGTATGGGGACAAGCAGGCCTAATATAATTGAGAATGAGCCTGAAAGGTCCATCTTGAGCATTGTTGTGGAGTAGATGTGTTTCTTCATGAAGTCATGGGCTTCACTATTGTTTTTGCCTTGATGCCTTGAATCGTTCATGGAGTCTCCTCCTGATTGTGGCTTAGAAGAGAGGCCAAAATCAACACCAAAGGCAGCTTGCCCAATCACATCGGTGGCTAGTTTGAGGGAGAAGTCAGAGAAAATGATGTCCTCTTCTTCGTTAGAAGGAATATTTGGAGTTGCAGACTCAATGAATGCTTGCATAGTTGGCACCAATTTGGCTAGGTGGGATGGCTGGTAGACTGATACTATTGTGTTTCTCATTGTAGACCATATTTGATCCCTGTAAGCTAGTTGTGTATCAAACTTTATTCATGTTCCAAACAACGTTGTGTAATCTCATTCACAATGAATCAATTTGTCTTGCCTAGAAACCTATTCTCAAAAACATGGAATGGTTATACAACTTGCAATGTAGCCTAGTGGAGAGGCAACTAAAATTTCAATAAATCTTGAGCAAAGATAGGTGGTCGTGACCCTGCTTGAATTCCAATTTGCTGAATTTGAGGTTCAAACATTAGTGATTAAATTGAAGAAATCTCAGCTTTTCATCAAAAAATGGGAGGCCTAGATGGAAGAGGGGAAATGGTTTATTTTCTTGCAAGAAAACCAAAGGGAGAGTGGATAGTTACTAAAGAGAGAGTTGGCAGGATCTAAACCTTTCAATTTTGGGCGAACTACCTGGTATTTCTACAACTTCATCACACTGAAGTTACAACCCCAAATTTTTGTAAATCCAAATTCAAGTTTTTAAGGTTGTGTTCGGATCATGTATTTGGGATGAAATTTGTGGAGAAAAAGGGAAAATGAAAAGAAATCACAATTTTACCTTTTCTTCCCAAATCCTAAATTCAAGCATAAAGGGAGGCGTAGGCGTCACCTTGTTCATAGGCTGTACTGGCTATGGAATTGTCATTGTTGGTAAGGTACACAACGATATAGGATTTGAATTAAGAATTTGGGATGAAATTTGTGGAGAAAAAGGGAAAATGAAAAGAAATCTCAATTTTACCTTTTCTTCCCAAATCCTAAATACAAGCATAAAGGGAGGGTTAGGCATCACCTTGTTCATAGGCTGCACTGGCTATGGAATTGTCATTGTTGGTAAGGTACACAATGATATAGGATTTGAATTAAGAAGCAAGCACTTTGTGCTTTACAAAGGTGGGGGAGACTAATTACCATAGGTGCTAATTTAACAATTAACAACTGACTTTCGCCGATCAAAAAAATACATATATATGTGTGTGTGTGTGTGTGTTTTTGTAATGAAGTCATGATACCTGGTAAAGAAGAGACCCTTCTGATGAAGAGGGGAGGCAGAGATGGGAGAGGGAATGCTTCTATTGGGAATGTCTTTAAATTTCTTAATTCCAACTTCTTTGCAAAGCTCTGCATCTGCTACTATTACCAGTGGCTGTCTACCCATATGAAACCTGCCCCCACAATACAAATCAATATAAATGCTCATGAATAAGTGACAACAGTGGATGGCTTCATGGTAATTTGCTAATCCAATTCAACATTCTGTTTTCAGCACTTATACTCAGTTTATTTTGGCAAAAATATTTTTCAATAATTAGTTTTAACGTTTGATATAAAAGAAAACAAAAGTCAATTTAAAAAAAAAATTATTTGGACGAAAAAAAATTCTACTTTTAAAAAACATTTTTTTGTAATTTTAGTCTTATCAACACCGCCACCACCAACGCCACCCTCCTACCACCACCACCACCACCACCACCACTAGTACATTAGTTTCAAGTTGCAAACAACATAAGAAAATATGAAAATATTTTATTCCGAAACAAACGGAGTGTTAACTCTCAGATTTATCGAACAATACCTTATTGTACAACTCAATAAAAAAAATTAAAAATCAAAGAATAGGCTGAAATTCATTGACTAAATCATGTCTAAAATATGTTTGATGCACTTAAAACCCAAAGCAAGACTTGAAAAGCTAAATGCATAGCTAAAGTAGAGGAAAATATATAATTAAGGTACTTAATTATGAACAAGCATGTAAGAGAAATTTAACCTGAAAATAGGACCATATTGGTTGGCAAGGACAGAGAACAAGTCTGGGCCATACTTGGCAAGCAAGGGCAGGTTTCCTAGCAAAGGAAAAGGGATAGGGCCAGGTAACCTCCTAACACCCCAATAGGGTGCATAGAAGAACAAGTACCCCAAAACTGCACCTGATAATAAGCTTAAGGCCAACAACATGGAGGTTGTAGCTGATACCATTGGGGTCCTGTTCCTAATTAAGGTGAGTCCTTCCTTCTTCAATTCTTGGAGAATTTCATTCACTAAGTCCATCTGAGAGGGGGAGAGAGACAGGGAGAGAGAGAGAGAGAGAGAGAATTTTATGGTTGTCACTAAGCAAGTTGATGAAGTTGGTCTTTGTGTTGTGGGTAACCCAATGATGAGACAGGCAAAATGGGGGTGGGGGGCACCCTTTGTAGATTTTGGGTGGCAAAACTATTTTATATTTTATAAAATATAAATATATTTTATATTTTATTTAACAATTTTGTCTTTCAATTCTATAAAAAAGTAGGGATATACAAATAAATCGATCTACACCAATTCAAATGGTACCATTTGGTCTGGTTTTTTAAAAGGACTATTAGGTCATTGATTATAGTTTAATCATCAGATTAAGATTCAAAATAGAATTGCCCCTTATTTAAAAAATATCTACATTTCGTATTTTATTGAAAATTTTGTTTTTGTAATAGTTGGTATATAATGAAGAATTTAACATGTCTTTACACATTTTATAGCAATCAGTTTGGAGAATATTATAAAAAAAATTAAGTATGCTTCTGAATTTTTGGAATGCTTTTATAAAACTGGATAGTATGAATATAGTGATAAAAAAAATTGTAATCTAAAATCATAGGACCAAACTATTTGGTTTTGATTCTTGATTCACCTTAAAACAGTAAATTGTGAATTTAGGTGATGTGTTACAACTTTATTTGTTAAAATAAATATGTCCATTTCTTGTGGTTAAAAAAAATGGAGAAGACAATGTTGTGTTGCCAACAAAACAATGTGCTGTGCCCACTAATATGTTGATAGCTTTGGCCTTGTTTGTCAATGGGCAAAAAATGTGAATTTTTATTTTTATTTTTATTTTTATTTTTATTTTTATTTTTTTAAGTAGAAAATCAAAAGATCAATTAAAATAGTCAATTTCTATATGAGCCCTTAGTGCGGTGAGATTTTTTAGTTAAAGTTGATAGAGCCTTTATTTGACATAAGTTAAAATGGGACTTTTTAACTAAAATAGTCACAAAAGGGCAAAATAAATTTTTTTAACTCAATAAAATAAAATGTTACATCCAAATTATAATCATTTTTTTTTTTTTTCACAAAAGTTAAAAAAGTCAAAAAAACCTATTTCAAACGAAACTTTTTAGGCTTAGGTTAAAATAACTAAAAAATCAAAAAGCCAAAGCACATCCCAAACGGACCGAGAGTAATGTTCAACCAATAATCTAACTTACAAATTTGCTAACAATAATATATATATATTTGATTGTCGTATTTTTATATTCAAAATGCATTAATTATTATGCGGATCCAGACATTGAGAAGTATCAAAATTATCACGCAAACTCAATTAGCCGTTGAATATGCTGCAGTTAAAAGGCAAAACATTTTTGCACCACTTTGTAATCTCAATTATGTCACTTTGTGCTTATGTAACGATGTGATTATATTATAAAATGATATAAATATTACAAATTATGTGATAAGAAATATTATTAATTATTTTTTAAAAAAATTACCACATATTATGATATTAGTTATAAAATATTAAAATTTTAGGAAAATATCTCGTAACTCAAATTTTGTGGCTCAAAAGTGGCTCAAATGGCCAAAACGACACGACGTCGTTTTGGCTATTTTTATGTTGTTCTGTACTCAAAACGACGTCGTTTTAGCCATTTGAGCCACTTTTGAGCCACAAAATTTGAGCTACGTAGCATTGTCGAAAATTTTATTACTTATGTGATGATAAATTGCAGATGATATGTCAAATGGCAGTGGCTTTGGTCCAATCCAAGATCGAATTGGATCGTGTTGTTGGGCTCGTGGGAGTCCACCACGGGTCCCTTTTTGATAATCCGAACCGTTCAATGTGTAGAACTCGTCGAGTACTATATGCTTGTAAAAAATCACGATGATCGGATATCGATAGCTATGTGAACAAAACAGTTTTTTATCAACCGTTAATTGTTTCACCGTCTATTTTTTTTATACAAAACTGATTTGATCACATAGCTATTGATATCCGATCAACGTGATTTTTTACAATGATGTAGTACTCGACAAGTTTTACACATTAAACGGTTCGGATTATCAAAACGGACCTCAAAAATAGACCCCATAAACCGAACTGGACGGGTTCAATCTTGATCTCAACGTGAGAAAAGCTGAACCAAAACATAATTGTTAGACAATAAATTGCATATGATGTGTAAATGTATGTATGTGTACTGCTTCCAACAAAATATACTTGTTGACATTTCATAAATCTTCATTATTTAATAGTGTATAGTTTCTTTTCGCTAAGTATAAATATAGGGTAATGCTAGAGACACCAAATTTTTTATCAAACAAATGACCAAATGTCTCATATGGGTGTGGGGTCCGCAATTTTGTGGGCCCACACCCATGTGAGACATTTAGTCATTTATTTGGTAGAAAATTTGGGACCTCTAGCATTTTCCATAAATATATACATATATATTCGTTGATTTGATTAAATAATTTCTCATTATATTGTTTTCTATCAAGTTCTTAAGGATGCAAAATGCTTAAGGAGAAATAACCTATGCAAATTGATTTTTTATTTGTTTATTTATTTTTATTTTTTTTGGAGAAATTTCAGATCAATAAGACTTAAAACATAATTACAAATCAAGTGATAAACTTTATCAATATTACTAATTAAAATTATAAATTTGTCTATAAATATGTAATAACTTTCTCAAATTACCTCTTATTGGTAATTTCTCTCCCTCTTTTTTATTTTGGATGCAATTGTGACTCATTCGGATTATGAATTTATAAAGAGATTTGTGAGAAAAAAATATATATAATTAAGGGGTTTTTTTTTTTTAGTTTCCTCTTGCCATTTCTTCTCTCTAAAATTGTTACACAAATTGATAAATCCAAATCCAAACACAGTACAAGAAAGTGTCTCATCTAACAAATCAATTCAAAATATTGAAGAAATTAAAAGTAGAAGAATTTAGAAGCAAACCTGAAAATAGGGCCATAGCGCTTGGCAAGGACTGAAAAAACGTCTGGACCGTACTTGGCCATTAAGGGCAGGTGACCTAGGAATGGAACAGTTGGAGGACCAGGCACCTTTCTAACACCCCAATATGGACTATAGAAGTACCCCAAAACCCCTCCTATTAAGGCCAATATGGTGCATATAGATGATACCATAGTGACCCTTGTTAAGGGCAATTGTCCTACTACTATATCCATTACCCTTTGAATCGTTTCACTCACTGTATCCATCACGAGAGAGAGAGAGAGAGAGAGAGAGAGAGAGCTCTTTAATTGACAAGGGTTTCAATGTAAAGGAGAGAAATGTGGCTACTATATAGTAATTGGTAATAGAGCATCTTCTTCAATAGTTGGTCTTTTGTCTGTTTATTGATTAATGAGATTGGCCGAATGGTGGGCCCACTCATAGGTAACTATGGTCTAAAATGCGACGGATTGAAATAAGGATACATGTAGATGAGAAAGGAGGAAAAAAATTATCAATATATGAAATGAAATTATATTTGTTGTGAGGATAGATGAAAAATTATATATATGAGTATAAATGTCATTTGCACTCTATGAGTTGGTTATTTTTTTCTCCTTCTCTTACCTGTTGAATTAATCAAAATATAATTTTAAAATGAAGATTCCGATCATAAGTTTGATTTTAAATTTTTTTTAAAATAATAGCCCGAAACAAAAGAACAAAATAATATAAAATATTTTATTATGCTTATCTATTTGTCTACCTATCTACGTCACTTATCTATTTACATATCATCACTTATTTGTTCACTTAATATGTCGATATGTCCGTATCACTATTAACACATGTGGTCTCTATCAGCCACTTGTGATACAATAGTAGGATAAAAATAAAAAATAATAATTTATTTTTCTTATCAAATAATTTTATTAATCCTGTCTTTGTTACCAAAAAGATCAATTCTTATATCTAATGTCATATTATCGTAAAAATAGACTTTATCACATTTAAATCCTTTTAAATTTGAGGAGAGTTTGGATCCAAATTAAATTCAAGTAGAATCTGAACAGAAGGCTCTCACAATTCAACAACAAAAAAAAAAAACAAAAAAAACAAAAAACAAAAAACCTTGAACTCTTTTGTTAGTATAAATAATAAATATGAAATAGATATAATATTGATATTTTCTTACGTCTATTGGGAATCAAATATTTTAGCTAAAAAGTCAAAAAGTTATTATAAATTATTAAATTATTCTCTCTATTTTTTTAAACTATTTTTGTAAAAAGTTTAAAAAATACTAAAAATTAAATTCTCAAACTAACCCTAGATTTAACTAAAATATAATTAATTCTATTAGTTTGTACACATTTTAAAATAATTTTTTTAATCATGCTACATTTGTTATCCTTGAGAATTTTTTTAAAAAAATTTAAAAAGTACAAAACATTGGTTTAGAACAACTTAAGATTGTTGTAAAAATTGACTATTTTTTAATTGACTTTTTGAGTTTTATGAAAAAAAATGTCTAAAAAATAAAAAAATAAATTGACTTTTTGATTTTTTTTAATTGATTTTTTGACTTTTATTATTAAAAAAAAAGTATGAAAAATAAATAAGAAAATTGACTTTTTTATACTAGTTTTTTCACTTTTTAACCAAACAAATATGTTGCCAAAACAAAATTTTTGGCCCATATAAGTTAACTTTGGCTTAGCGTGCAGGTTAGGCTCGAGCTCTAACTAAGCTTGATCAAATTTGTCTACTTTTTTAGTTGAATTTAGACAAACGTAAAAATGCTCGGTAGCCTAAAAATGAGGGGTTTGAATAGCTTGAATGGGTGTTGGCCGGACATCTTTCTGGACGATCGGGTGAAAACTTGTCTACCGCGATTGTCACCTTTGTCGACTGCGGCTGTCAACCTTTTTGCCGGACGGCTTGCAGGATGACCGGCTGGACGTCTACTCGGACGACTGGCAAAATAAATTTTGAGCCATTTAAGCCAACTTCTTTTTCAGGCTACCAAACATTGCTCAACTTTCAACTCTACTGAAACTTGGCAAGTTGCGGCCCTAGTTTTAGGACAATATAGGAGACTTTTAAACCATCTC